TCCCGCCGCAGAGGCACGCCGCACTCGCGCCTCCTTTAAATTAAACCGAAGACCGTTATAAAATTACATTAACCTCATAAAATACTGCGAAGCGCGGTTACGAATAGTCGATTGAAAGGGTCATATAATGATAATTATCTGCAGGATATCACGCGCCCCTGACCTCATTAAATATGCTATCCTTTAATGTCTTTCACAAATGCTCCGGAATAAATTGTTCTAACTAAAGCTTCGGCGAACAATAGTAGAGTAATTTAACATGACCGTTAACAATGTCTGGAATCTTTTGGAAATGTCGTTTGACAAATATTTTAACGGGGTGTTCTGAGAGTAACATATTGGCCATAACAAAGGACTTATTCAAAAGCTTCAGATTGCGGTTTTGGTTGGAGCTTCTATAGGTGGTAAGAAGCTCGAGACGGTTCGAAGATAACACAAACTGGGGTGCTTATCATTTAAAATTACATCTACTTGATTGTGGTGTGGAAGCAGGCATTTTGTACTTCGTAACATAAATATTAGAAGATAAACGTTTAGATAGTAAGCCAACAATTCAAAAGTTAGGAAGGGTGAGTTGAAATTCGGTCGGAGGATATCTGGTTCAAATTAAAACTTCCAGCATTCAGTGTTTTCACTTCCACTTTTTCTATTTACTTTTCTATTAAACTTTGTTTTCTGTAGATACGGGATGAGGATGAGGCAGACTTGAGATTTATCTACACGATACCGTTCTATTTGGCTGAGGGAAAATTCAATTTGGTTTTTACCTGAGGGTGCTTCGTGCGAACCCTCGCATACTCTCTTTAATGTTGCTGCTTTCTTTGCAGGAAAATATAAACGTAGTTTTCCAATGTATGCAAATATTTCATTGTTATAGTACCTAGTTCTGTAATCTACAGAAGTAACGTCAACTAGTCTTTTTTTACATTCGAACGCTCAATTAACAATATACGACACATGATACATTTAAAGAAATATTACTGTTTAACAAAACATGGAACCAATTTTAATGGCTGCTTTATACAAACAACATAAAAGAGGAAGTGAAATTCCCGAAAATGGCTCGTAGATTCGTCCTGAATATTCGTAAGTTATTATAACTTGGATTCTTTTGTAGGTGGAGTATTTTTAACAATCATTCCTAAATGCCAGCCACGCAGAAAGAAAACAGCTGACAAAAGCGATTTTGCTGTTTTCATTTACTTTCCATTATTCTTTAACTCGTTTGTCATTCTTTTCTCTCCGCCGACGCGCGTAAAGAAGAAGAATGACGGTTGTTTATAAATATTTACGTAGCAAAGTGACTGGCTAAGGAAGAAATGAGAAACATTCTGAACGACCTGTTTCTGATTGTACCTAAAAACTTTATATTACTTCGTCCATAACACAAGTAGTAGTCGATAACATGAAAAAAGAAATTGAAGTTTCTTCCATACTAAAGACAACTGGGGATAAGCAATTTGTAAGTAAAATATTGCCGCATAAAATCAAGTTGACCTAGATTGCGCGGATAGAATCTTTAGTTTAGCCACTTCATCAATAGTTTTATGTTGACACAGGATTTTCATTATAGCTCCGATATTAGATTACCACCAAACGCAAACTCCAGCCCAGTATATTCTAGGATTTGATTACATTACTGGCTTACTAAATGTATCTAGAATAAGATTTCATTTGAATTTACTATTATAATATCATCCAGCATCAGTCGTAGTCCGATTTTTAGTAAAGAAGATGTTTCAAAAACGATTTTGTCCTCAATGGTAAACCCCCTAAGTAAAGTCTCGTTAGAAAAATCCTTTTATTTCTTTAGCAATTAAATATAAGATTTAGAGTAGTTTGAAGAACGTTTGGATTTTTTATAAATTGGTTATAAAACTTACTAAATACAATTATTTATTTGGAGGAAACGAAAAAATAATGTAATCATAATAACAAGTTTATTCATGAAATAATAATGCACAGATATTGTGAACGAAAAAGGATATCCAGTGCCATTGTCTGTAAAGAAAAAACGGTTCTTCGTTGAAAATCTGTAGCCAGCGCGCTTCACTATCAGTTCTTAAAGGCTGGAATTAATCACTTAGTCAAACAAGCTCTCGTCCCGCTGAGATATCGTTAATTTAACACTTAAAACGTTTTTATTCGAGTGGATAATTGCAAGGGGGCGGCCGTAATGGGCCACGTTCGGCCTCGGCAAAGATTGATGACGTGCTGTGTTGAAACATTAAAATAGCTGACTGAACATTTGAATAAGAAATACTCGATTGCCCGCAGGATTACGCGATGAAACGATCGTTTGTGTTTTTTAGCTGAGAGCGAACAATAATATATTCCAAGGGGTGCGACCTGTCGGGTGATGTTTTAATGCTTACCGACTTTTTGCTGCCCGAGACGATAAGTAGTCTTCTCAATATCGAAGTATTATTTGTTTTGGGTAATATTCACGTAGAATTTAAAAAAAGCGAATATCAATGATGATGGTATAAGACGTGGAATCCTATAATATGTAGTGTCAATTTGGTGTTCCCGCCTTAGGCAGTTCGATTTTTTCAAGTTATTTATAATGAACTTATATAAGTTGGCACGGGCCTGGATGCTAAAAGCTTTCTCCAAAATAGGTATCAACCTCGTAAGTTACGAATTTTAGTTCCTTATTTATAAACTATGCCAATAAACGTATGATGATATTAAACCAAACATAATCCCGATTTTACTAGCCCACACAATTATTTTGTGCCGCAATGCTTAATTAAATGGGACAGCAGCATAACGTAATAGGTTTTGATGCAATCGTGGATTGAAACTTTAGAATTGAACGGGTGGGGCAACCGGGTAGTTTGCTCGTAATCGGGTCGCTGGTGGCTAATAAAAAGTTCCGGGATATTCGTGTGGCTCAGTGAACCATAGTTTTATAAGTAATAGACAGTCTGGAGTCAAGTAATAAAAGTAATATTATAGTTTTCTGTGCGGAAGAATTTTTCACGTAATGCGCTTCTTTAATTGGATCTGGTAGACGTGCAGAACAATTAACATTTACGGAATAGTTTCTCTAGAAAGAAGGTGCTGAAAGGTGAATAGTTCATTGCGCATTTATTTCATATTTACTTCTAAGAAACATCTTCGCACGAGTGAAAGCGACTGTATTGTACACATAAAGCTTCCTTATGAATTCCGACTTTATGCAGAGTAAATAAATCCAAGCCAGCGAAACACAATCGGTTATATACCAGTAGTTAACGCTTCTATAGACAAACACCACTTTGTTCTACACTAATATTGAGTTAACATCTAACGTATGAATCTCAAACGTTAAACGTATGTAAATCAATGCTGGAAAATGTTACTTCAGGTAGAAATCCGGCGCTTTCGGGTGCCTTGTTTACAATGTTGTGATAATGTTAGAAAAACAACGATACATTTAGGGGGAAGGATTGGGGGCGCTAATCTGATGGTGAGTAAAAAGATTTAGTGCACGCCCTGCGAAATTAATCTTCGCGAGTTATACGTAGCTGTACAGCATCTGTACTCGACAAAAGGTTTAGGGGAATCTATTTAATTCGTTTCATGGTTTGTAATTCAGTAAAATTTAGGTTTCGCAGATAAGGGAAAGGTCGGAAATGCGGTATCCTTGAGAGAACATGGAAATGCTCTCTACCTATAGGAAGATGTACATGCAGTCACCATGTTCGGGAATAATGGATGGAATAGTGTACCCAACACGCTAAGGAGCGCGCCTGCATTTCCAGACAAACGTATTACCTGAATCAAATATATTTGTGCTTTTAAAATGTGCTTTGTACTTTTTGCTAGTATAGAAAATGAGATTACTTATACAGTCGTGGATCGAGCCGGTTGCAGACTAAGAGCTAAACCACGGCTAAACTAAGTTTATTAGCTCAGCCAGCATACATACATAGCTGAGATATTCATATTTCATACAAATATATAAAATAGGTACCTATATTGCTTTAGCGTTTAATCTCAAACCGGCATTTGCCTAACCATTAGAAATACAACAATGTCTTTCTCTAGATATGTTTTTATACAGACAATAGAGACAATGTTTCAACCCCGAGATGCCAAACTTCTAGACATTGTACTTGGATCCAAGAGTATTAAACACTGTACTTGCAAGGGTAAAACGGTACATTTTTATTGAATACAGTACAAAAGCATACAATGTTATTATTTGTTAACAGTAATACCGCAATGAAAAGTTCCTATTTCTGTTTTCTTGTTGGTTTTATTGTACAATATTTGCAATATCGGATGCGCGCAACACGCGGTCCCCTGCAATGGATAGAAAATGCCAGCAACTGAGCGCACTATACGAGTATATTGCTATCCGATAACAGAATGATATTGGAATTCCTATATCTACGTGATGTAATAAGGTATAGAAATACGACGCAATTTATTTAAATTACTAGGGCCCTGGTGGAGAAATACACCTAGCTTGCAGGAATTGGACAACTGTAAGTTGACTTTAGACGTCTAAGTTGGATACTTCCACCCACGCTGCAAGCGATGTTTTCATAAAATGGATTGAAGTTCCTTCATAAGATTTCAACTAAGTTTGTTATTAGGATATTATGCACTTCGCCATTACGAATATTAATGTTTTACCTATTTGAAATGTAATTTGTTAATTTTTATATAAGAAATCAACCGTCGCAGATGGGATTGATACTCACGACCGCTTATGCTTGTGAATATCGTGTCACTTGCGTGAAATAGCTAACATATTATAAAGGCCCCCAATAAAGGTGCCCGATCTTAAGATTGGGCAGCTGTTTCATAATTGGCTCTACCCATCATCATCATCATCATCATCATCTCAGCCATAGGACGTCCACTGCTGAACATAGGCCTCCCCCAACGCTTTCCATGTTGCCCGGTTCAGTGCCTTCCTGCTTCCTTTCCACCTTGTACACCACCCATAAATGTAAATAATTAAATTAATCAAATATTTCAATGAAAAATATATTTTATTTCAAAACATAATTATAAGACAAAAGATAATAATGCATTTGAACTTAGACGTACATTTCAGTCAGAGTCGTCATCAATTATAACTCTACGCTTCTTGTCCCGTTTCGCCGGCAAAACTATGTCTTCATCGTCTTTGTCACTGTCGTCTGGAACAAGATATTTTAATCATGAAAGGGAAATAAACGTACTTATTTGCATTTGAGTGAAAACTTTAATATTTTTCTTTTTAATTAAGTCAAGACTTACCGTCTAGAACTCTAGGTATATTGCTCAAAATATCCTCAGTGTCGGGCAAGTCTTCTTGCTGTAGCGTTTTCTTAGCAAATGACAAGATATCATTATCATCATCTTCATCCTTGTTAAGAGCAACTTCATCATCTTCATCTATTTTCTGCATCTTCCTTTTCCCCTGCCGTTCATTAGGTTCGAAACTTCGACTTCTTTTGCGATTATTACCCTCCACAGTTTGTCCGATACTTTTATTTAAAGTATTATCTATGTTAGGATCACGCATTTTCCTCAAGTTATCAAACAAATCATCATCATCACTGGAGTCATCGTTAGGTCGTGTTGTTTCTGGTTGATCATTGGTAATATTTTCGGGTGCAGTAGTGTCTATGATAAGTTCTTTGTGGACCGCTTTCATTATGATCTCTCTTCTCTTTCTGATCGTTTCGAAATGTAAATCAGCAGGTATTCGCCAATACACTTCCTAAAAAGTTATCACCTCATTTAAAATCATATGTCACATATATATAATTTCTTCTTTACAGTACAGTCGATAGTACATCAGACTTAATATATTTTATTTATTTATTTGATCACCAACAAGGTTACATTGTAGCGTTCACAAAAATAACACTAGTTAAATGCAAACTTAATTAAAGGTGAAAACAACATGCATTAGAGACTAAATCAACAGCACATTTTTGTTGCAATATCGCCCGTAATATGACTACATAAGATGCCTCAGTGTTTACGTTTATATCATGTTGTCCATACAAAAACTTACTTGTTCGTCGCTAGGAGGCGCTACACCCACGCCTTTAAGAACCTTCTGAAATAACTCGCTTTCCATGGCTTCCATGGACTCACTGGATATAGGCACCAGGGGCACTCCTTCGGCCGTCGGGTCAAAGCCCTCTGCTTCTTGATCAAGCGCTACTTCTTCTAAGTTTTCGGCAAGCCATTTTAGACTTTCCGTCAAATCTAACACAACACAAAATGATTAAAAACAAGTAAAATATTTTATGTAAGTAAATAGATATAAGTGATAAATTAAAATATATCGTACCGTTGTCTACAGCGTTCACTAAAAGCTTGGCGATTTCGTTCGCGCTGAGTTCCACTTTAGCTGGTTTCTTTTTGTTGTTACTAATCGGTTTTGGTTTCTTCTCCGGTTTCTTCCGTTTCATTGTGATTGGAGGAGGTGATGATCGAGAGTTATCATCGCTATCACTATTTGCAGAATCCGAATCAGATGAACTATCTAAAAATTTCAATGCCAATTCGACATTTATTGTAAACGAAATAATAATGTAGTGAAGTTATGAATGTGCACTTACTACGCATTTGTCGCAAATGGAACAAACTTTTATTTGTTCAAAAATGAAATGATAAAAAGACTAATACGTAACAGTAACATTTTCCTCACAGTATTGTTGCAAATACGGATGGAGGATAAAATGGCAGAGTTCAGTTTAACGTTAGAACAAAGAGCAAAACAGTTGTTTAGTAACTTACCGTTCGATTTATCGTCGTCTGTTCCAGTGCTTTTAGCGTTCGATTTCCTTTGCCTCTTTTTACGGCACTCGTTCTTATCTTTTATAATGCCCAGCTCGAGTAGTCTATCGACATAGCTTCGCTTTTGACGCTTACGCGGCATACGAGCCATTATCACACTCATTGGATCTGAAAATTATATTCCATAAGTCTTCGCAACTTTTTCAATAATGCGCACCATTGCCTTAGCTATAAACAAAAATGCGAGTTTTTGTTTGTTGCACAGAAACAGATCCGAACATGTATCGATAAATAACAAAGCTGCTGACATAATGAACAACATTCATTTTAGTTAACTCCCGTACGTCGATAACCCAAAATTTATTCAACATGTTCCTACGATAAATTGACAAAAAAACGTATGGCGTGGACATCAGTTATCTGTATTTCGGAAATACATCCTGATTTAATACGTTTTCAATTTTGTTTATTTTTCAATTTGCATTGTATTCGGTTTATTGAATCAAAGTAGTAAAATGTGAAATTGTTTTCGATGAGCAGCTGGGGTCTGAGTATTTAAGAAGGAAATATCGTAGCAAATGTTCAAGGGGTTCCTGCAGTCGGAGGAGTGTTTGCTGATGATAGATATCTGTATCGGGGCTACTGTTTGCAGAGCTGTTGTTCTCGGTTTCTCCTACGCAGGTACGAAAATAGGGGTCATTGTATAGCAATGCGCAATAGAACTTTATTGTTTTACGTTCAAGCCTTAGAAAAACTCTCAAACTAAACTTCAAAAAAGATTATTTCGAAAAGAGGTTGTTGGGCAATAAGAACAAAAGACTCGAGACGGAAATACGACTAGGTAGGCAATACTTCGAACGTTTGTTCGAGACTGGATTTATATTCCAATCGTTTTACTATACTTAGGGATAATAACATAAAACACTTACCACTAGTGTCTTTGCACTGTTGCCAAATTTCAGTCAACATCTGATCCTCTTCCTCGCTGAATTCTTTGGGTGTTTTTTCCCTGGCCCTCTCATGGTTGACTCGTTTCGTAGGCGCGCGGAATATTAGACCCAATTCTTTCAACTTTTTAATGACCCCACGGCGCGTGCGGGTTTGATCGATCAGGTTGTCTAATATCCAGTCGATTACATCTGATGTTCAAAAAAACATAGTTAAGTGAATCTATACAACATGAAATGTAATTTAAGTCTGTCCATTGATTTATTAAAACGTATCACATGGGTTTGATAAAATTACATAAACGAAATCCCACGACGAATCAAATAAATAGTAGATAATCCACTCAGACGAGGAGGCGGGCAAAGAAAGTATGTTACTACTAAAAATAGACCCAAGTAAATAGAGATAGCCGCAAAATTAAAATATAATATTGAATTTGCATTGAAACGTCTGCCAGCGTAACGAATTCAAAGCTCGTATTCTAAATGCGTATCTGAAGATTCGTGTCTTGTTTTATAATTTTTCTGTAAGTGATTCGCCGGCTAGTTTCTCTACTTTGTTTTCTAGTCTTGTCTGGAGGGAAATTAAATTTCACAAAAGTTTGCCTCAAACCTTGATTATTTTCAGGGTTCGCCTGATTCTCCATGTACAGATTTCTAAGTTCATCTTCTTGTTCTTCGGACCATGCGCCAGTTCCAGGCTTGTCTCTGATAAAATAATTTTGTATTTTAACACGAGAATTTTATACACAGACTATATACACGTAAAATGTGAAAAAGAATGTTTGATGTAGCATAAAATTAAAATACACATAATATTATCACATAACTATTTTCTAAACTTGAGACTCATAACGTATTTGGATACTAAAGAAGGTAATAGGTACCTTCGCGAAGTATTCACTTAGGAAATATATTGCTTTAATATGTTGTTGTATAACGATTTTTTTTAGTTATAAATGGCCAAAACTTCGAAATGGAAATAAACCCAAATGATGATACAGTACATAATAAGTAAAGTAACTACTATTAACGTAATCGAAATACCAAAGTGTGATCTCCAAGTGACGTGTAATCTGTGAAACGCGACGCGCAACATTTATGACGGCTAAATTAGACGCGCGCGCGAGGTTAACTTCGGGCCTTAGCAAAGATTGATGATAGTTGAAAGAGTACGTTAAAATAGTTTTAGGCGGGATTCATTGAGTTACATGTGCTGTTGCGGGAGCGCCACTTACGAAAGTAATATTCTCGGTTCATTTGTCAAACTGATACCTACGTAGCTACACAATATTAGTTTTGTCGTACCAACATCATTTTGTAAATCTAAGAGCAAAAATATTTCTTTCAGCTCTCGCTATCACGCTACCGTAGAACGTTTTAATAATTTGCCAACAGATTTTGTGTCTGAGGTTTTCGTAAACAACCCAAATAAATTAACTTTTAATTGTTTATCGATCACTTACTTCTGGCTCGTGTACAGATCATAGCCGAATTCAATTTCGGCTGAATCTTTAGCGGTTTTCCAGAAAAGTAATTCAATGAATACTTTCGGGTTTTTAGAGGCCGTTTCGGTGAATTTCCTAAGGATGTATATCGCAAATTTCTCCAATTCCTGTTAAAATAGAACGATGTGTTAAAGATTTTCACATGCATCGAGAGTTTCAAATTTACAAAGACGTTTTATTGGTGTAAACATAATATCATTACTTTAAATTGGGGCACGGGATTCTCGAGAATCTTTTGGAAAATTATGAACAGTGTGGCTTGGAACATCATGGACGGTCGCTTGCAGTCCCAAGCGATGCGGTGCAGCATCTTGGCGATGCAATGGTTTGTGTGCGGGAGGTTTTTGTCGTATTCTTCCAATAGAGATACGCAAGCGCTCACTACCCGTGGGTGGCAAAATCTACAAAGTAAAATAAGTTAATTTAGGTCATGGCTGTAGCAGAAGTAAGTAATAATACTAATGTATGAAAATCACAATAAATTGAAAATTACTTACCTCAACACAAAATCTTGAAAGTCGAAATCGGTTTCGACTACCGCTGATGTTCTTTCTTCTTCCTCTTCTTCTGTAAGGAAAATTACTACCTATTATACTACACACTAACTAATTAGAGACTAAGCTATTAATTATAATAATATACTATTAATTAGAAACGCGGCCTTACCTTCATTATCATACTCGGATTCTTGTTCTTCTTCGTTTTTGGTCACATCTGAAAAAGTTAGACATAGTTTAATAACTTCAGATGAACTATGTAGTTTTACGTGGTTTTATTAATTACGCGTAAAAAGCCTTAACTGCAGCAGTGGCGTGAAACTAATTGGTTAATTATCCAATATATTGTTTAGCATTATTTATAGATACATAACTCATCGGTGGTTTGGCTCATAACCGTATTAGGATTCCTAGTAATAAAAGTGTCGCTATCGCGGATTATCTGTACCATTAACTATAAACCAATGATTTATTGCAATGCAGCTCACTGAGATAGGATCCACGAAATACACATTATGTAGTAGAGAACCTACTTATGTATCTTAGATAATATAATTTACAAACCAATAGTTATGAATATTTCGCTATATCATTCGATAAGTTTTAATTACACACACCTGCAATCTCAACTCCCAAATCGGTGCTATAAATAGTTTCTAGCATGTTCAGTTCTTCTTCTGGTTGAATTCCCATTTCACCGAAAATTCCGTCTTCAGGCCAGACTTCTCTGTACATAAATAAATTAATGTATGCAGTCTTAATAAAATGTGTACGGTAATTTTTGATCCGTTCAAGAGAGCGAAATTAATTACAAACATACCGAGCAGCGCGAAACATCCCAACAGCATCTTCAAATTTATATTCCCTCATATGTTTCTGTATATTTTTCATGCAATCTTCTCTGTGAACAAGGAAATTAATTAAAACTTAATTTTCGAGTATCGGTGTAGCTAAATTTCGTCCAGTAGTAGTGTGGTGTTTTATTATAGCAATGAAATAACTTTGTGTGGGTGGTAAGCTGCGAGGATATTTTGGGAAAACCATCTACTCTGTCATTAAAAAAAAGGGATAAAGTAAGCAAAAGTGTTCGTAAGAAATTCTTGGAAGTACCAATTTCTATTTTAACATTTCTTAATTGAGGCTTTTGTCTTTACTTTTTGGAAGTATAATAGTCCAGTCAATAAAGCATTATAGATGGAAAACCGTGGAACACAATTTTTGACTTTGGGACTTTATTTAGACTAGTTAGGAGGTGAACATAGCAAAAGTCCCCGCCCTTATCCCTTGAGCCGGCGGGGTGAGGGGGGCTTAAAGGTACCACTTTTCGGTTTTTCACTTAATCCNAGAACGAACATTGTCCTTTGGCATACAGATAGGTAGATATGTAAATACAAAGGAACAAATAAAAAACCAGTAAATTTTAACATTTTACATTTTTAGATAGATTTTAGTGTTCTAATTGTCGATTTTTGAACGTCAATACCTAAACAACCGTTTGAGGTATATTTATGAAATTTGAAGCTGATGTTTATCTTGCAAGTCTCAACACATGAGCCAAATTTGAAGTGTTAATGCACAGTAGTTTTTCAGTAATGAGGAGTCAAAAGTGGCTCCAATTGGGTCGTCTAAATATACGCACGGTGCAGTCCCCTCCCTGGAACTAGGCTTAACGTGCTCCCGCATGTCTAAAATATTTGCTTAATGTTGGTTTAGTCGATTTTCTATTGATGGGAACATGTAAGACAAAAATAAAATTTCCAAAATTACAGACCTTCTAGAGCAGATGCCGTGAAAACTATAAAAGATATAGAAAAACTTGACTGTCTCACCTGTAGCAAATTGAATAAGCTTTTTTTGGTTCATAGTAGTCATGTCACTAGGACGCATAGTTTCCGAGGATTAAGAGAAAAACCGAAAAGTAGTACCTTTAAACCCCCCCTCTCCCCGGCGGCTCAAGGGCTAAGGGCGGGGACTTTTGCTATGTTCACCTCCTAACTAGTCTAAATAAAGTCCCGAGGTCAGACATTATGTTCCACGGATTTCTCTCTACACCGTCGTTAAAGCATTCATTGACTGGACTATAACTAATTTACACAAATTCTGGAATTTGTTTACGATTCGTGCAATTCCGTAAGAATTTTACTAGTTCTAAAATAACGTCTTCAGATCTTTACTTTTGTTACGAACCGAAAACTATGCGAACAGGGGCCGCTGGCTTAGTCTAATAAACAATTAGTAATTACGTATAACCTACTTTCATTCTGAGTTTGTTCCTCACCACAAACAGTTGTAGCTATTTATTTGTTTGGGAGTTTTATGTGGGAGTTTCTGAGAACTAAGAGAAAAGCGGGCGTGACGGCGCACAATTGTGCCGAACCGTGTTGTTAGGTGAGGGTATCAAACAGAGAATAGCGTGGATCTTACGAATCTATCCAAATATGAAAAATACTATCAATTAAACATAGTTCGTAATCAACCATTATTGCCACGTTGGTCAACAATCCACTCCAAATAGCCTGGGGTCAGTGATGGCGAGTTCGCTCGCTAATATTAGCACTCAGCGTTTGTGAGGAAAGAAATACGACACGATAATGAATGTATATTTTGTAAGATGAATAATGTATTACACTGACCCTTATATGGGCGCATTATTCATTTTCGAATATCAAATTATTTTGAGTAATGTATTTATACAAAAATATGTAATACTGTGTTTCTTTGTTTACCTAAGCTTTTTTGGGAGGGATTACTAAAAGTAGGCGCACACCGTTGATTTTTCGTCGGCCGATAGTTTAGTCGGGCAGTTGATTGATCAGTATGGGCATGTATGGGAGTGCGCACACTACGCCGATTCGATTTGGCCGATTCTTCATACAAATTAAAATCGGGCACAACTATCGGTCAACTAAAAATCAACGGTGTGCCTACTCTAAGAGTAATTATAATGATAAATATTGATGAAAAGTCTAGTGTCCTAAAAACATTTAGTCCGTCAATCTTGACGCACAGGAGTGCTCTCGCCAAGATAAGCCAAGCGACACGCAATGGCTCTACCTACCCTTTCTCTAAGTGCTTCGTCGTTATTTGAACCCTCAGTCATAATTTGGGTTTGGTGGATGTATCATATCAATGGAAAGGAGAAGAGGAAGAAGATAAGCAGAATAATAATAAGAAGAGAAGAAAAACAATAAGAAATACGGAACCCTAAAAATAGATGAAGACCAAAAAGCACCTCCCGCGCTAATTAAAACAAGAAAAATTTAGAAGAACAATAAACAACATACTTCTGGTGGTCGATGGGCACGTCAGAGGCGGCGTCGAAAGGTGGCGGGTGTTCTCTAACGCCGGCGCCGAGCACTACCGCTAGTTGCGCGCGCACTTCTTCCCAGGCGGGCAACTCCCGTGCTACTGGCTTGGGTTTTGGCGCTGGCTGCTTTTCTGTTCGAAATTTAAAAGGAGTTAACATTTTAGAATGCTAAATTCAATGTTTACATAACAAGATATTAAGAAATTAGGGTCCATCAATTGATTTTTAACTTTGTATCTTTATAATAAGGTTCATATTTCAGTACACTTTATTTTTATTACTTTTTTATTTTAAATCTTTATTGCACAGAAAAACACGGTACAAAAAGCGAACTTTATGGCCGTAAACAAAAGGCAAGGTAACTAGTGTAAAGCCGGTCCGTGAGCACGTAGAATCCCGTCCAATGACCCCAGCCTGCCAGCTCGCACACTCACTGCGGGCGCGCGTCGCACAGTCGCGACAGCAATATAATTACGCGCGAGCGATAAGGATGGGTAGCTTGGGGTCATTGGACGGGATTCTACGTGCTCACGGACCAGGCTTTAGTGTGTAGCATATTTTAAGCAGTTCTACTGTCCATTTTTATACTGTGTAACAAACAAATGACCAAGAAAAAAAATGCTTTAATGAGTTAGTTTCTAGGTTACACATTAGGACTTGTATAATGGGTGTCTCAAAATATGAATTAAAGTGGATAATTCATTCTGAATTAACTTGTTAGTTAATTGATTTACCTACATAAATAAAAAAGAGATTTACTTTTAGATTTTGTCTTCTTCCTAACTTTCTTCTGGACAACTAAACCAGTCTTCTTACAGTAATGCTCCAGCATTTTCAGGTATAAATGTACTGTTTCCACTAAATCCACTAAATAGGACCTGTAATAAAATTTTATTGTAATACCAGTGCTTGGTAAAATGTATGTTTTATTTTAGAATGCTACATACCTCGGCATTTTGTTTTCATCATAATTCAGACATGTTTGAAGTACAAACTCTCTGTATTCAAGTACATAAAAAATATTACTCTTTAACACTTTGGCTGAGTCTTTGACGGACGGGTCTGTACTTTTGTCCATGGCCAATAAGGTATTCAACAACTCTTTATATGCTCTCAGAGATATATGTAATCTTCGTACCCATGAATTATACTTTTTCTTTTCTACACTGATCATATCATAATATTTTTCCATCTGCTGTTGAACGTAATGAAACATTGGAACGGACATTGTTTCACTGCAACACAAAGTATAATTTGGTGATTAATTTAAAGTATAAAACAATAAAAGTGAGTCAAGTTACAAATAATACCATGTAATAAATGTTATACAACTTACCTAACTAATCCAACTTGAAAATTATGACCTCTATTGAACTCCATGAAGAATTTGACTGCCCAAAGATAGTATGATTCATCATTTTGCTGTGCTTTAGCTCTCACCAATGCATCTTTGACATAATGCATCAGCGGATTGTATGAGCTATTCAAAAATTCTATGCAAAACTCTTTTAAAAACAATCTGAAAGGGAGACAAAATATAATAAAAATAATACGTATTGCACAATAATTATTCTTTTAACAACCAAGTATAATAACAGATGAATAAATACCTAACTGCAAACGCTGATCGTCTTTCCATTGTGCCACTTTCTACTGGTCGTCTATTCTTTGGTTTCACTAGTTTGGACTTTTTGCTTCCACTAAAGTCCAAATTGGATATTTTATTAAGTGGCTTCAAGCAAATCATTTCATTTTCTGATATGGACTTCATATTTTGCACCACATAAGTGCCACCAAAGCGTGAATGCCTGTATAAGAAAAATAATTTGTTTTAGTAAGGACAATGTAAATGAATAATTATATTTAAGACTACTTTATCTACACTGTGAAATGCAATAAAGAATTGAGTATAAATAAAATATAGTAATTAAGTAATTTTTTCAATACCTTGATGCAGAATATTGCTTTACTTTATTAGTACGCTGTTTGTTTTCACTCATCCTCATTGACAAAAGTTCTTGTTCATCTCTCAACTTTTCATCAACACTTCTCTGCAAGGCTGCATCGGCAAGACTACTTGGATTTTGTTCACGTAACAAATGAGATATAATTTCGATGATATGCATGAAGTATTGTTTTTCATTTTCCGATGACATGTACAGTATAATATCTAATATTCCAGATTGGTTCAGTGCCCACAGTACCTAAAAATGTATTTCAGTTAATATAAAATTTTAATCAAGGACAAGGTGTGAATGTTTAAAATTAATAAAATATTTTTAACCTGGTCATGAACACTAGCATCGTTTTCTGGTCTCCTTTCCTTATCAAGATCAGCAGGCACGTGTAAGACATTTCTAATAAGAATTAAAATCCTTTCTATGATAAGCCCCGTATCCTCATCCCGCTCCATAGAATCCTATGATATAAAATAAAATGTAAAAATCAATATTTAATGAAAGTAAATAAAATTGTGTAAAATCTATTTAAAAACTTACAATTTCCAGTACTTTAGCTAGCTTTTTAGCAAATACATTCCATGTATCAACTTTTGTGAAAGCTTCTTCCTTGTACGATTGCAGATGTAACAGAATAAGTAAATAATTGTGCCTTGCTGTTCTTTCCGTTGGCACTTCTTCTCTATACAGCAATAATGCTGGATTTGTTAAGTTTACTAACAATCTAAAATAATGATTATTAATTATTTAAAAAAATGATCATAACCTCACCAAGAATTTATTAATATTTGTTTCTATAAATAAACAATGATTTCATATAATTAACTACGAGAGATAAAATATTGTATGAGCTAACTTACCTGAGTGTAACATCAAACAACTCAGTGTTTTCCCAATGGTTTATTAACATGGGAATCAGGTCAGTCTGGAGCACTTTAGTTTGACCAAAATGCCTTCTGATCTCATGATCCTCACCATCACGGCGCAAATATCTAATTAAGTCTTTAACAGTATTTAGTGTAAACTCATCAATCAAATACTTTCCGGTCTTTTTATCATAAGTTCCAAGTGCATTGCAAGTTGCAGAGAGTTCAGCAGATAAATATGAAGTCATTCTTGTAAGATGTCACAAACACTTGCGGAGTCAAAAATTTTATTATTCACTATTAATTACTTTACATACTTGTTTTTAACTTAAAACATTCACGTAATTTTAGAAATTCACATTTCTCACTCACAAAAACACAGTACGATTTGACATTTATCTAATGTCAAAAATGCCCGCGAAAAGCAGCAAGTGCCAGTCGTTCGGATTAATGTCAACTTTACTTCAATTTTCTTCTTCATTTTTGTTCTTGGCAATACTCGTCGAGGCCGACTTGATTTGTGCCATTTTTAAGTGAGTGTGGGTCGAATTATGAAGTGGGACCAAGTGGGATGGGACTTGGGCTTGAGATATTAGGTGCGGTTGAAGTCTTTTAAAATACATAAATAAAATTAATATATAAAATTAAAGTTCTATAGAGTGGTGCTTAATAATATTTAAATTATATTATAGTTCAACAACCGGGAAAAAAAACAAAAGGTTTGCTCGGGAGAGGATACCATCGATTAACCCTTTTGCTTTTATTTCGTAACTTGAATTGAATAGGTAGGTAAGTACTTTTTCTTTCTTGCTTTAACCCACTTGTTACTAGCGTTTGATATACGGATCAACATAAAAATTAAATTATTATAGCCTGACCAGGAACATAAAAACCCTGGCATAGAGGCGCGTCAATTGCATTTGATAGTGCAACACTGAGTACAGTCGTACCTGTGTTAAATTAATAGGCTAACTTTATGTATCAGGATTCAGAATTACGGGCTAATTTGATATTTTCATAAATTAACGAAAAAATATTATTATAGGTAACCTGGTTTAAATAAATTAAATGAAACCATCAATCGAGCTAGTAGGATTTATTTTATTATTCATCAATAATAAAATTCAGAACTTGAATATTCAACTGCAATGTCTGCTAAGAACGCTTCAAACTCGGTACTTCTTTCCCAATTCCATAAAATTCAACACTTAAAAACTGACAAAAAACTTTAAAATAGGTAGTTGAAACAAACCACAGCTAATTTTCATAGTTGACTGTACTATACGATAAACATGTCAGTCAATTTGACAACCTTTGTCGGAAACATTATTCAATGAAAATATTGTCCGAACCCTTAGTATTTCTCTTCGACAAATACTTTAACACATTGTGAACCACTTTTCTTTCACGACTATAAAAAGATTTTAGCAATTTATTTACAAAATCAATTGCGCACATTTAAAATAAAGTTTGTTTACACTATGACAGCAATAAACTGACATGCAAGGTGACATTATAATGAAGTTTTCAGTTACTGTTGCCAGTAAAAGAAATTAGTACCATTAGTTTTCCGCAATATGGCGAGGGTTTTTATGTTCCTGGTCAGGCTATATAAACAATGAGGGTGGTTTCTGATAACATTGTTTATGTTAAACGATTCCTGAGGGGTCCCTTTGTCCATCAGAAGTGTTCTGTTCTACATTCATAGCTGGGCATTAACTCGTTAATCCGTTAATCGTTAATTAACGAAGTTAACATTTCTATTAACGGATTAACTTTTAAGTTAACTTAAAAAAATGTTAACGGACTCGTTAACTTCCGTTAAATTATCCTAAGTCCGTTAATCGTTAATCCAGTACCTACTATTACCAAAAAGATACAGCCTGCACGCTGCAAAACACTAGAAAAACGCGTTCTGACAAGTACGTTCGGGCTTCCAGAACTTCCAGAACCCAAAACAACAGTTTTTGTAACCAGAAAGAAACGGTATAAAAAATGCTATTTTTTATTTATTTACAAGCTTATTATTGACTTCACTTGTTAGTATGTGTGGGACAAATCTTGCAACTGAATTTAAACCAGTTCTCCTCAACCGATTGAGCTGCAATTTGGTATACTTTAAGTACGATGAAAATGCAATGTTGTGGTACCATTGAGCTGGTCTAATGATGGAGTCATGAGGCGGCCATAGGAACTCCTACTCTCCTAAATGAAACGGCGGAATCGCATCGAGTTTGGGTTTGTTGGATTTGTCTTTTCGAGCACATTGATGCTAAATTGTATTGTAATTGAACCAAGGCTCTGAGATTAAGATACTATAGACTAAGAGCTGGTGAACGCCAGACCAACGCCATTATACAGTGTGAGTCACGATAAAGTTTACATATGAAAATAGGTGAAACTAGACTTATTTTTATCGACAAAAAAGAGGTCAATATTTTGCAATTATTGCTTGTAAAGAAAACGTAATAACGTTTAAACTAAGAGGTATTCCTGATGAAATAAAAACAGTAATAATGCTAAATAACAGGCGATACTAAAAAAATACATAAAATACCCAGGAAATGCCAACAAATAATAAAAAATCATACTTTAAAAAAAAAAAACTGTTTTTAAATTCGTGTTTTTTTGGTTATTTGATAAATTTCTCCAAAAAATGCCCTATAACAGGTGGTTTTTATTACTTTGTATTATTCTCTATCGTATTACTTTTGTAAAACCAAAAATCGCATGTTTTTATCTCTATTACAACGTTTGCAATGATCGTTTGAACAAAGGCTAGTTAAAGGTTTTTTAGCATCGCCTGTTTATTTAGCATTATTGATGTTTTTATCTTATCAGGATATACCTCTTAGTTTAAAAGTTATTACATTTTCTTTACAAGAAGTAATTGGAAGAAAAAAAATCTATAAAAAATTGTATAAAAATGTAAAAAAAAAAAGTCTCATTTAACTCTGAATATTTTTTTATTAATGAATATTCCATATTTTATGCAAATACTTTAATAACTTACGCAAGTCGCAAAGAGTAGGTATTATCTCTAAGTTCATAAAAGTGGCCGTACATATTACTAGCGTTCCGTATATCAAACACCATTTTCCAGCGTTTCCGTAAGACCAATATTTTTTTTGTATTTTTCCTGTTGCCTTGATGCATTAAATAGCCGATATATGCAAAATCACAGGAATCGTAAGAAAAAAGGGATATCCGTAACAACTGGGTTAAAAAAAATGACCATGACCATTAAGAATAGGCGCACACCGTTGATTTTTCGTCGGCTGATAGTTTAGTCGGGCAGTTGATCATAACCCACCACCACCCATGGTTCTTCCAGCCTCACGGCGTACGAACCGAAACTCGGGAGAGCGCGCGGGTACTTCCTCTGGGCTCTTTTCACCGGGCGCTTTGCTTGACTCCCTACAAATTTCTCTGATCCATGTCCCTTCTCATAGTCAATTCTCCCCCTTCTGGGGCTTGACACCACAAATACGGTACTTCGCGTCGGGCTGCTATCGTTGATAAATGTCATCACTTCTTCTCATAACTTCGCCTGATTGTGTGCCAGGAGTGCGCGAACTCGCGCAGCGCGATCCAGTTACTGCGACTACTCGTGAGGTCCTGGTGATAAACAGGTCCTTGCTCGGCTCTCCGTATCACATCCAGCATCTTCTGTCGAGCTTCGTCATAGAGGTTACATTCCCAAAGTGCGTGATCGCGGCTCTCTTCAACTTCCTCGCCGCAAGGGCATAGTGCAGACTCGCACAGCGTCATCCTGTGTAGGCGCTGCCTGAAGCACCCGTGCCCAGTTAACAATTGGGAAACCACGTAATCAGGTTCAACCCAGCCGAGTGAGAGCCTCACCGCCACGATGGGGAGAACTGGTACAGCTCACGTCCGTCGCTGCTGGCATCCCACCGCTCCTGCCAAAGGGCCACGGCATCCCCTCTAATGGTGCGCTTCAATTCCCGGCGCTCCCTGGGGGCCAGTTGGATTCCCTCCTCCGCAAGTCGTCCTGCACGAGAGACTTCCAGGTCGGCGGGCAACACGCCGGCAAGCACAGGTAACGCTGCCGTGCTGCACGACCTGTAAGCCTTCGTGAGTAAAATGAGCGCCGGTCGCTGAGTACCTACTCGAGCAGTTGATCAGTAAGTATGGGCATGTATGGGAGTGCGCACACTACGCCGATTCGATTTGGCCGATTCTTCATACAAATTAAAATCGGGCACAACTATCGGCCAACTAAAAATCAACGGTGTGCGCCTACTCTAACAAAAACAAGTTATTATGAGCCTACAAGACCAACATAAAAGTTGCATTATTGTTACTTTTATATTTTAATGCAACTTTTTTTAAAGTAAGAGACCACATTACGTACTATCTGTAATCACTATAGAAATCGAACTCTAGACTTTAGGTTACGGATTCTAACTTTAAAATTACTAGGTCGTAAGTAGAGGAGTATTATTAATAATCTTATAAATATTTCTGAATCACTGTAGGTATTATGTGATACGGTTAGACATAATGCGAGATTGCGAGATATTAAATACCGTAAGAAAGAATTCATCCGAATACGACTTTTAGGTTGAAAGGTAGGTAAGTATGTGATGTTATGTTACTCGTAATTGCTTTTACGAACGGGTTCCTATTTAGATAAGGCTTAATTTACGATGTTCAATTACCATTTACTGCTTCAATATTTCACCAAAGTAGAAGTAGCGTTGGCATCCCGTGACGTTGTATGCTTTTGGTAGTAAAACCAAAGCTATTTATTTTAGACCTAATAAAAGAAAACTGTCGTAAAACCAGAATGTAGTTTATTGGGTGTACGGTACAGTATTCATATAACTGACGCTAAGTACTTAAAGTACATTTCTTACTTTTTTATGTGCAGGAAGTAACTTCAAGACAGCGAATTTTCTTATACAAAGAAAAAAAGTAAACTTATTTAAGACAAAAAAGGACTTTCTCAGACCGCTTCTGTGTGTTTTGTTTTACAAGTTTGTTTACTTTTGTGACTCATTGCTTATTTTAAGAGGGGAAGTTCTAATGAATAAGTGTGCGATTAGGGGACAAAAAGGATTTGGGGACAAAGGTCAAAAGCGGAGAGGTTCCACCAACAGTGGGTACCTACCTCAAACTTAAGTCGTGAAATTTTGTAAGAAATGAAAGTGAAATTATTTTATGGCTAACAACTTTCCAGGAAAATTTCGCCGCCAGTTTTGTTTAATATCCCTGTTTCTTGAGGTATCGTAACTCTTGTACTTTTATGGTTTCAGTTAGAAGCTACGTGTTTCAGAACATTTTATTTATGTAAATAGATTGTGTTCTTAATTTTTTCTTCAAAAAGAAAAAACCTGGTTCCAAGATTTAACTGACTAAGTTTTTAAACGCTGCGCTATACG